CTTGCTGACCTCTGCTCCAGCCTGGGCTCGCTCGCTCCCATGGTACAGACACTTACCGGCCGCTCTCTCTCCTCTTCACTCGCTCGATCTTCGCGGTGCCGCTTGGCTCCTCCTCTCCAAGCTCCACCTCCTCGCCGGTGATTGGCCACCTGTGTGCCTCTCCTGAGCTACAGTTCCGGCGGCCAATCACCGGCGAGGATTCATCCCGGGGGTGTGTCCAGATGACAGCGGCGGCATGTCATCCCGCCCACACCTGGAGACAGACAGAGGAGCGGTGTCTCGGTTCCTAAGACCATCGGAAATATGTGTTTTCCGATGGTCTTAGGCAACCCCAAAGGGGTCGCGACCCACAGGTTAAGAACCGCTGCTCTACAGTAACACCTCCTCTATATCAACTCTTCCTAAAGTTGTACCTTTAGTATCACTTTAATCATTTCACTGCCTAAGAAGTATAACCTATGAAATATGATGGCTGTGAGGTCTGACACCAAACCCAAAACTGCACTTAGAAGGGCAATCGTGGGTTCAAAGTGTCACACATACGATGAGTCCTCCTCCTGCAGTGAGAAGACTCTTCCTGAACACGCATGTGAGTCCCACAGCCGGGTGCACAGATCACACTTTGTGTTCATCATCTACTATTCAGACCCCAGGGTAGACCTTCCCTGCCTAAATCACAAGGGTAATGTAGGAGCGCTGAACCTCATGGAGATGCCTTATATTATAATGGGAGGTTTGTGGTCCTAGAGGCTGCTCACCAGCAACTGTGGGGTCTTGCTGAACCCCCACAGGAGTTTATTGAAGTTTTGAAAGGATGGGAACGCCACACCAGTTTGTATAGATGTAACGGAACCGACCCCAGACTGCGCTTGGGTACTTCCGTTAGACTACCGCTTCCCCGTCCGAACACCGACAACAGCCACCAATCTTGAAGTAATCCAGAAAGTAGACACTTTCTTTTAACACAGATACAAGATATATACACTCAAGGGAACAACCCCCCCTCCCTGCATAATGACACAGGGCGGGGCAATCTACATTTAGTAATGAGACACACCAGCAGACAGTCCCATCAGGAGGAAGGGCTGCTGGAGACACCCCCACCAAGCCAATACACAAACACATACATCCCATAATAGTTTGCTCCTAAGCAAGACACACAGTAGAACAATGGGATGCAACCACATAACACCAAAACCTTCCACAACCCCCACCCCAATATTAGGACAGATCACCCTGTACTCCTAACAGGCACAGGGTGACTTACACATAAGAGGGATATGGGGAGCTGAGACAGGGTTCTCCCCACCTCTCCGAAGTGAGCTGTGTTCCAAGGGCCCCCCACCCAAAGTGACTCCTGTCACAATAGACTTTTAAAAAAGTTTTTATTTTGTAACATCCAACATGTTTTCGGGGGCTCAGCACTACCCCCTCATCAGGGTTAAAAACCAGATAATATAGGCACTTGGATTGGAAAAAAGTCAACTTTTCGACCTGATGAAGAGGGAGTGCTGAGCCCTGAAATGTGTTGGCTGTTACAAAATAAAAATGTTTTAATTAAAAGTTCTTTACAAACTGGAGTTGAGTTCCCATCCTTTCAAAACTTCAATAAACTCCTGTGGGGCTCCAGCAAGACCCCACAGTTGCTGGTGAGCAGCTTCTAGGACCACAAACCATCACACTACAGCACCACCTGAGCTTGTATAGACCTTTTAAAAGATTTCTATTTTGTAACATCCAACACATTTTCGGGGGCTCAGCACTACCCCTTCATCAGGGCTAAAAACCAGATGCTGTAGACACGGATTGGAAAAAGCCATCTTTTAGCCCTGATGAAGAGGGAGTGCTGAGCCCTGAAACACGTTGGCTGTTACAAAATACACATTTTTTGAAAGGTCTATACAAGCTCAGGTGGTGCGCTGTAGTGTGGTGGTTTGTGGTCCTAGAGGCTGCTCACCAGCTACTGTGGGGTCTTCCTTGACCCCCAGGAGAGTGAATTAAAGGTTTGAAAGGATGGGAACTCCACACCAGCGGAGATGCGTTATAACCAGGGGTGGACTGACAACTCATGGGGCCCCCGGGCAATAGGGGATCATAGGGCCCCTGTGTCCTTGCCCACACTCAAACCACACCCAAAAAAGCCTATGAAAGGTACCAGGGGCATCTCATGGGGCCCCTTACTGACCCCAGGCTTCTAAATGGTCAGTCCGGTCCCTGAACTCCCACAGGTTATAACACAGTGGATGGGAACTCCAGATTTATGGTCCTACCCCTTCAGACTGTACACCAGCAACTGTGAGGTCTTGCTGAACTCCCACAGAAACGTTTGTTACAAAAAAAAATTGAAGTTTTACAAAAGGAGCAGGAAAACTCACACAGCACCACCTGAGTTTGTATACTTTTAAAAGAAAAGTTTTTAGATGTTTTTCGGGGGCTCAGCACTTCCCCTTCATCAGGGCTAAAAACCAGATGATGTAGACACTTGGATTGGAAAAAGCCAGCTTTTAGCCCTGATGAAGAGGGAGTGCTGAGCCCTGAAACGTGTTGGCTGTTACAAAACAAAAATCTTTTAAAAGGTCTATACAAGCTGGTGTGGCGCTCCCGTCCTTTCAGAACTTCAATAAACCACAGGGGTAGAATCATTGCACTGCGGTTTTGGAGATCACATGATCATTCCACAGGGTCTTCCACTTAGCAATGAGGCATTTTGAGGAGGACCCCTGTATACTGTTGCCATGTCGGCTTCCTTGTGACAGAAGTAAAATGATGTAAAAAATTACAATGCAATAATAAACAATTACTGTATATATTTCACAAAGGCCCATACACGTAACACGTAACACGCACACATACAAGTGGAACAGACAGACAGACATACAACCTCTATCATACTGACACGCATGCTCATTAGGAGTCTTTAGGCTCTTCAGAGGATTTCAAATAATTTTAGGAGGCGTCATTTTGTAGTCAAAATTTTAATGTAAATCGCCTAGTTACAGTTTTGCATATTTTCATTTTTTTTTTTTTTCATTCTTCCGCAAGCAAGTCTAAAAGTATTTGCCATTTATTGACGTGACACAGTTTTATTCTTTATTCATGAATTCCGGAGATTATATTGCGCTTGCATTTACTAATAAAGATTTGAATATATACTCATTTGAAAATATAACTTTGATAAACAGCTTCAGGTACATCACGGTGCATACAAAATCAAGGACTCTTCGTAGGAGAGGTCACTACTATAGGTATACTATAGGTCCTCTGCTTGCAGAAAACGGGGGGATCCTTCAAGATCTTTCATGGTATGCCATGGGATTGATTTGCTGAAGGAGTAGAGTGAATGTTCGGTGAGTTTAGTAAATAAGGGGAAGCGGCCTTCACTTTAGTCCAGTGTTTCTCAACTCCAGTCCTCATGGACCCCCAACAGGTCATGTTTTCAGGATTTCCATTATTTTGCACAGGTGATTTGATCAGTTTCACTGCCTTAGTAATTACCACAGCTGTTTCACCTGAGGGAAATCCTGAAAACATGACCTGTTGGGGGTCCATGAGGACTGGAGTTGAGAAACACTGCCTTTAGTCATACAATCTTGTACAAGAAAAAGAAATCCTGAATCTTGAACGTAATCAAAAGTAAAAATCCCACCAAATCATGGACCTGCTTTTTGCACATATCTGCCTACACAATTCAGGGGACCCAACCTTTCCTAATGTTTCCACCCCGAGGAACCCTGAAAGTGGTTGTGAAGGCAAATCATTTTTAATTAAAATAATAAACTTTCCTGCTCTGTGCAATGGTCCCTTACCTCCTCTTCTGGAGCCCCTGCTGGTGCTCTCCCCTACTTCTCTTCTCTGCTGTGGACACAACCCCAAGCCAGGCTATGTGCGTCCTTAGACACATACACCGAGCCACGCCCCCCCCAATCCCTCCTCACAGGACTTGACTGACAGCAGCAGCAGCCAATGACTCCCACAGCTCTCAGAGCCTCCTCTGAATGCAGGAAGAGGAAGCAGCGCTGCTGAAGATGGACATAACAATAGATCGAGAGAGGTAAGTGTTTTTAGGAGGGAGTTGGGAGGAAATGATATTGGAAGGTTTCTTACCTCAATGCACAGAAGGTACTAAAGGCAAAAAAAAAACTTTTTGCCTTTAAAAAACGCCTTAAAATATTGCTCAGGTCTTGGGGAACATCTTCTGAAAACCAATTCATAGGGTGTCCAGTAGGAAATCTACCCCTTCCATTGGTGGTAAGTGGGGGAAAAATGCCCTCCTTATGGTGGTGGTCAGAGCGTCACCCTTTCAGACACCTAAATAAGATCTCTAGTGTCATGTTGCTGGCTCTGCCAAGTGGCACTGGCCCCGGAACTATGCAGGCACCATCAGAGGGCCGATCAGTTAGCCGCAGCTCAAGAAACCCATGGCAATCTCTGGAGGGGCCCTAGGGTTCTAGAGAACCCTGGCTGAGAATGGCTGATCTATACTCTACACACAACTCAACAAATTGGCAGAAAACACCAGACATGAGGAGGACTGGGTACTGATTTGGGGTGATTTAGCAAAATATTCCCTAAATGTGACGAGCACCTAGGAGGCATATAGATGGTACGTGGTTCCTGCGTAAATGTACCATCAGAAGCCCAGTTATGCATCATGTCTCCAACTACGAAACATCTGTCAGAATATTCGTTGGCCTATTTGCCACTGCTCTCTGGACTAAGATTCTCAGAATCCCACATGAGGGCTGATAATGTAAGCATTTGCCTTGTCTCCTAGAGGACAAACACGATTTGTATGAATCTTGGAACCCTGGATACAGCTACAGCACCGGGGAATGGACAGGGCTAGCCTTTGATGTCTAGGGTTTAGACGGGGAAGGGTGGCCTGCCCTGGGAGGTGGGTCTAAGGTTTAAACCATTTCCATACCTACTCATTAATACTGTGCAAAGCAGCACCTTTCCTTTTATTTATCACTTTTTCTGTCTTTGCTTCTTTCTGGCTTATAGCCAATACATCCTTTGTCCTTCTCTCCTTGGGCCTTATGATCACTATCCTTTGTCCTCTCCTTAGACTCTATGGCCACTTCATCCTTTGTCCTTCTCTCCTTGGGCCTTATGATCACTATCCTTTGTCCTCTCCTTAGACTCTATGGCCACTTCATCCTTTGTCCTTCTCTCCTTGGGCCTTATGATCACTATCCTTTGTCCTCTCAGACTCTATGGCCACTTCATCCTTTGTCCTTCTCCCACTGGGCTCTGTGGCTGCTAAATCCTTTGTCCCTCTCTTGCTTGGCATTATGGCCACTATTCTTTGTCCTTCTCTCATTGGGCCTTATGGCCACTATCCCTTGCCCTTCTCTTATTGGGCCTTATTCCGCTACATCCTTTGTTCTTCTCTTTCTTGGCCTTATGGGCACTACATCCTTTATCCTCCTCTCGCTGGGGCTTATGGACACTACATCTTTTGTCCTTCTCTCACTGGGCCTCATGGCCACTATCCCTTGTTCTTCTCTCATTGTGCCCCATGGCCACTACATCCTGTGTCCTTCTCTTGCTGGGCCTTATGGCCACTACATCCTTTATCCTCCTCTTGCTGGGCCTTATGGCCAGTACATCCTTTGTCCTTCTCTTGCTGGGCATTATGGCCACTATTGTTTGTCCTTCTCTCACTGGGCCCTATGGCCACTACATCTTTTGTCCATCTCTCATTGGGCCCTATGGCCACTACATCTTTTGTCCATCTCTTGCTGGGCCCTATGGCCATTACATCTTTTGTCCGTCTCTCACTGGGCCCTATGGCCATTACATCTTTTGTCCAACTCCCGCTGGGCCCTATGGCCATTACATCTTTTGTCCATCTCTTGCTGGGCCCTATGGCCATTACATCTTTTGTCCATCTCTCATTGGGCCCTATGGCCACTACATCTTTTGTCCATCTCTTGCTGGGTAATATGGCCATTACATCTTTTGTCCGTCTCTCACTGGGCCCTATGGCCATTACATCTTTTGTCCGTCTCTCACTGGGCCCTATGGCCATTACATCTTTTGTCCATCTCCCGCTGGGCCCTATGGTCATTACATCTTTTGTCCATCTCTTGCTGGGCCCTATGGCCATTACATCTTTTGTCCGTCTCTCACTGGGCCCTATGGCCATTACATCTTTTGTCCATCTCCCGCTGGGCCCTATGGCCACTACATCCTTTGTCTGTCTCTCACTAGGCTCTACGACCACTAAATCCTTCTCTTGCTGGGCCTTATGGCCGCTATATCTTTTGGCCTTTGCTCTATAGGACCTCATGGCCACTATATCTTTTGTCCGTCTCTCACTGGGCCCTATGGCCATTACATCCTTTGTCCGTCTCTCACTGGGCCCTATGGCCATTACATCCTTTGTCCGTCTCTCACTGGGCCCTATGGCCATTACATCCTTTGTCCGTCTCTCACTGGGCCCTATGGCCATTACATCCTTTGTCCGTCTCTCACTGGGCCCTATGGCCATTACATCCTTTGTCCGTCTCTCACTGGGCCCTATGGCCATTACATCCTTTGTCTGTCTCTCACTGGGCCCTATGGCCATTACATCCTTTGTCCGTCTCTCACTGGGCCCTATGGCCATTACATCCTTTGTCCATCTCTCACTAGGCTCTACGACCACTAAATCCTTTATCCTTCTCTTGCTGGGCCTTATGGCCGCTATATCTTTTGACCTTCGCTCCAAAGGACCTTATGGCCACTACATCTTTCGTCCTCTTGCTAGGCCTTTTAGCCACTACATCCTTTTCTTGCTTCCCTGCTAATAACGGTCTTCTAAACATGAATAATATAATCAGGGTGCAGTTCCCCAATCTATGTCTTCCTTAAAGGTCACCTAATCTGAATACTTATGAAATGTGATGTTCTCAGATGAAACCCAGGAACCCGCCATTTTTTCATTCTTTGTTGATGGTTACGTATTCTATTCTGACAACTATACTTCTGGCATTTGTCTAATGCATTGTGTGAAATGACCTATTATAAATAGCAATGCATCCTAACCATTGGTGGTACTGTCAGCTGAAATTCAATAAAAACACTGAAACAGAAGCAAATCCTGTTCTTTATATTTCCCACGCACATGTTTGGGTATTCACAGTGAACACTACTTTGCCCCATTTACTAAGCTCCTTGAACTTTCACTCGGCAAAACAGTCTCTTCATCTTTAGTAAATCACCCCAAAGTGTTTATTAGTCAGCCGGAAACGCTTTGCGACACCAACGATGCTACAAGATTCCGGTGCAGTACCAGACTCTAATCTCAATTGTTCCATCGTACACAATGGCTTCTTATAGGGGGTCAGGTGACAAGTGCACTTTTACAGTTATATACCCCACTGTGTTATATATACCCCACTGTGTTATATATACCCCACTGTGTTATATATACTTCCACTGTGTTATATATACTTCCACTGTGTTATATATACCCCACTGTGTTATATATACCCCACTGTGTTATATATACTTCCACTGTGTTATATATACCCCACTGTGTTATATATACCCCACTGTGTTATATATACCCCACTGTGTTATATATACTTCCACTGTGTTATATATACCCCACTGTGTTATATATACCCCACTGTGTTATATATACCCCACTGTGTTATATATACTTCCACTGTGTTATATATACTTCCACTGTGTTATATATACCCCACTGTGTTATATATACTTCCACTGTGTTATATATACCCCACTGTGTTACTGTGTTATATATACTTCCACTGTGTTATATATACCCCACTGTGTTATATATACCCCACTGTGTTATATATACCCCACTGTGTTATATATACCCCACTGTGTTATATATACTTCCACTGTGTTCTATATACTTCCACTGTGTTATATATACCCCACTGTGTTATATATACTTCCACTGTGTTATATATACCCCACTGTGTTATATATACCCCACTGTGTTATATATACCCCACTGTGTTATATATACTTCCACTGTGTTATATATACTTCCACTGTGTTATATATATACCCCACTGTGTTATATATACCCCACTGTGTTATATATACCCCACTGTGTTATATATACTTCCCACTGTGTTATATATACCCCACTGTGTTATATATACCCCACTGTGTTATATATACCCCACTGTGTTATATATACCCACTGTGTTATATATACTTCCACTGTGTTATATATACCCCACTGTGTTATATATACTTCCACTGTGTGTTATATATACCCCACTGTGTTATATATACTTCCACTGTGTTATATATACCCCACTGTGTTATATATACCCCACTGTGTTATATATACCCCACTGTGTTATATATACCCCACTGTGTTATATATACCCCACTGTGTTATATATACTTCCACTGTGTTCTATATACTTCCACTGTGTTATATATACCCCACTGTGTTATATATACTTCCACTGTGTTATATATACCCCACTGTGTTATATATATACCCCACTGTGTTATATATACTTCCACTGTGTTATATATACCCCACTGTGTTATATATACCCCACTGTGTTATATATACCCCACTGTGTTATACTGTGTTATATACTTCCACTGTGTTATATATACCCCACTGTGTTATATATACCCCACTGTGTTATATATACTCCACTGTGTTATATATACCCCACTGTGTTATATATACTTCCACTGTGTTATATATACCCCACTGTGTTATATATACCCCACTGTGTTATATCTACTTCCACTGTGTGTATATATACCCCACTGTGTTATATATACTTCCACTGTGTGTTATATATACTCCACTGTGTTATATATACTTCCACTGTGTTATATATACTTCCACTGTGTTATATATACCCCACTGTGTTATATATACCCCACTGTGTTATATATACCCCACTGTGTTATATATACTTCCACTGTGTTATATATACCCCACTGTGTTATATATACCCCACTGTGTTATATATACCCCACTGTGTTATATATACCCCACTGTGTTATATATACTTCCACTGTGTTATATATACCCCACTGTGTTATATATACCCCACTGTGTTATATATACCCCACTGTGTTATATCTACTTCCACTGTGTTATATCTACTTCCACTGTGTTATATATACTTCCACTGTGTTATATATACCCCACTGTGTTATATATACCCCACTGTGTTATATATACCCCACTGTGTTATATATACTTCCACTGTGTTATATATACTCCACTGTGTTATATATACCCCACTGTGTTATATATACTTCCACTGTGTTATATATACCCCACTGTGTTTATATATACCCCACTGTGTTATATATACTTCCACTGTGTTATATATACTTCCACTGTGTTATATATACCCCACTGTGTTATATATACCCCACTGTGTTATATATACTTCCACTGTGTTATATATACTTCCACTGTGTTATATATACCCCACTGTGTTATATATACCCCACTGTGTTATATATACTTCCACTGTGTTATATATACTTCCACTGTGTTATATATACTTCCACTGAGTTATATATACCCCACTGTGTTATATATACCCCACTGTGTTATATATACCCCACTGTGTTATATATACTTCCACTGTGTTATATATACCCCACTGTGTTATATATACCCCACTGTGTTATATATACCCCACTGTGTTATATATACCCCACTGTGTTATATATACCCCACTGTTATTATATATACTTCCACTGTGTTATATATACCCCACTGTGTTATATATATACCCACTGTGTTATATATACTTCCACTGTGTTATATATACCCCACTGTGTTTATATATACCCCACTGTGTTATATATACCCCACTGTGTTATATATACTTCCACTGTGTTATATATACCCCACTGTGTTATATATACCCCACTGTGTTATATATACCCCACTGTGTTATATATACCCCACTGTTTATATATACCCCACTGTGTTATATATACTTCCACTGTGTTATATATACCCCACTGTGTTATATATACTTCCACTGTGTTATATATACTTCCACTGTGTTATATATACCCCACTGTGTTATATATACCCCACTGTGTTATATATACTTCCACTGTGTTATATATACCCCACTGTGTTATATATACTTCCACTGTGTTATATATACTTCCACTGTGTTATATATACTTCCACTGTGTTATATATACCCCACTGTGTTATATATACTTCCACTGTGTTATATATACCCCACTGTGTTATATATACTTCCACTGTGTTATATATACCCCACTGTGTTATATATACTTCCACTGTGTTATATATACTTCCACTGTGTTATATATACTTCCACTGTGTTATATATACTTCCACTGTGTTATATATACCCCACTGTGTTATATATACCCCACTGTGTTATATATACCCCACTGTGTTATATATACTTCCACTGTGTTATATATACCCCACTGTGTTATATATACTTCCACTGTGTTATATATACCCCACTGTGTTATATATACTTCCGCTGTGTTAT